CCCGCTAGGCCACGACGCCCCGTCTAAGGCGCGCAGCCGCCCCGCTGCTTTGCTCCCCCGGCAAATGAGACGAATTTCCCGGAGGCGCCTGGCCGTGCTGTGCCTGGCCTGGCAGACATACGTCGCATTGTTGCCGAGTGTTTTATCTCCATGTGTGTGTATGTGTGTGTGTGTGGGCGCGCTGCTGGCTGCCTGCCCCGCCTGGCTGGCTGGCTGGCTGCTTGGTTTATTAAGCACTGTAAATTATTGTCCCGGCGATTGTCTTGCGCAGCGTCGCCGCGCCACGCCGCGCCACGCCGCGACGCCAGGGCAGGGGAGGGGGTGCGGAGCGGAGCGGAGCGCCCAGCAGTCGTCGTACAAAGCGCGTGGCGTGGCGGGGCGGGCCGACGTGTGGTGGCAGTATGTAGCGGCCGCCTGGGCCTGGCATTGCTGCTAGATCCTGGCATTTATAAGGCTTAATATTCAAAAACGACCTGTTCGAAATTGCCGGAAATTGTGATGTTGTTGATCCAGCAGATATGCTTTGAAAAGTCAACACATTTTCTCCTCTTGTTTTCTAGAAGAAGTTTTTTCGTTGAAACTTGTTTTTTGTAAAGTTATGCTGCTGAAAAAATCTCATGTTTTGTAACCGGTGAAGTCGTTGAAAATCAACTGTGCGGGGGGAAACTCCGCCTTCATTGACTCATAATGTCTGTGTTACGCGCCACTTAACGATGGAATGATAGAACGCACATACTCTTTTTTATTCGCCTTATTTGCTTTTTGGGATGTCAAACCCTGATTCGCAGCCGCTATCGCGGAGGCCTTCGCCCCCGGGGCCCCGGCCGGACGAGTGTGAGAAAGGGCCGCGAGCAGCAGCAGCAGCGCCGCACAGTAGCAGCAGTCGTGTCGGCAGATTGGGGCGATACACATGTCCTTGCGCGCCACGCCGCGCCGCGCGCTCCTCGGCCACGGCGAGATTGCAAGTCAAGTTACTGTAATTAAGTTTGCATTCTTGCGACGGTCGCGCTCTGCGGCGGCGGCGATCCCCTTCCTCTGCGCGGCGGGGTCCCGCCCCGCCCCGCCACGCCACGCCACGCCACGCCACGCCACGCCACGCCACGCTGACCGGCCAGGGCGGCAGCTCTGGCTTTCACTAAACTCCTTTTTACCAAGTGGCCAAAGGGGGCGGCCGCGGGTGGGCGAGCAGGCCGAGGAGGAGGAGGCCGGGGTGTTGGTGGTAATCCCTCTTCCTTGTGGTGACGCGGACTCTCAAGGGCCGCCACCGCCGCGCCGCTAGCGCCACGCGCGTTAATAAATTAATAATAATCAAATTCGAGCGAGTATTAATCAAGAGCAAGTCGTGTCCGACCGGAACGTGTGGTGCGCATAAACCCATTCCTCCTAATTACGCCCTCTCGGACCGTGTTATGGACCCGAATGTGTGTGTGTGTGCGTGTGTTGACGCCGCCGAGGTCCGATCCCTCTACTCCTACTCCCCCCAACCGCCCGACAAGTTTCTCATCTCCCTGCTGTTCGCCTTTCCCTCACCGCCCCCGCCCCCAGAGTTGGTTGTCCTTTATCATACACCCCCGCTGCTAGTGGGAGGCTGGGACCGCGCGCTGCTTGACCCCCAGCAAGCAGCCCCCAACGCTGCTGCTGCTGGGCTGATTTATAGTTTATTCCATAATGCGTTTGCGGCGGCGAGCGCGGCGCGCGGCCTCAGTCAGCAGCAGTAGTGGACCGGACACCGCGTGATTTCTCATATTCCCCGTACATTTCGTGCAAATCATGCTTTTTGTATACATACTTCTCATGCTTAAACTTCTCATACCTCAATTTCTCTTAGCCATACTTCTCATACCTAAACCTCTCATATCACTAATTTAATCCATAATAATTGTCCCTCAAACTTCTCAAATTTTTCGTTCTTTTAATTTCTTTATACTCTTACTATATTCCAAAGAAGCTTCTCAGACCACACGTCCATCTTTACTCTTCATATTTTGCCCCAGCACAGTACATACTACGTACACGCACATCTTTTCTCCATCCCGCACCCCGCACTCGGCAAGAGTCTTCCTCGTCGCGTTTGGCCTCCCTCCTGAATGTTTTCGGCTCTCTGATCGTATGGTCCCCCTGAAGCACGTTCTCTCCGCCGCCACCTTCCCCCTGTCCTGCCGCGCCGCCGGGGCAGAGGAGCAGAGCACTGATTTCATTACAAGGGGACAAATGTCGGTACGGTCGGTGCGGCTGGCACGCCCTCCTCGACCGGGCATATCACGACGGCCCCCAAAGGGGGAGGGGGAAGAGGAGGGCGCCCTCTGCTCTATTGGACCTGCGTGCGGCGGAAACTGCACTTTGATCACACTCTCTCCCCCTCTCTCTCCCTCTTGTGACCACCCCCTCACCTCCGTCCTCTCCCACACCACACGTGCGTGTTTGTCTGTAGCCCATAAATGGAACACCACCGGCCCCCGCCTGGTCGCCATCTACCCATTCATCTCGTACCTGGCCACCCCGCGGGGACTGGGGACTATACGGGGGCGGAGCTGATGGGAGCCCAAACCTAAGGGGGCATATAGAGATAGCCGTCGTGGAAGCCCCGCGGCCTGCTGGGCTGGGCACACGCGGGCGCCCCAAGTTTTCCTTTTCCTCTTTGACGGCGTCGGTCGAAGGAGGAGCGAGCTGCTGCTGCAAGCCGCCGGGAGCAGAAGAAGTAGCCGTGATGGTGCTTGGACCTGGCCTGCTGAAGTAGCCCCGCCCCG